TTAAAGCCTGTCTTGTTAGGAAGCCTGTTTTGAATACAAGCCTGGTTTGAAGACAAAACATAATTTGCATATGGGAGCATAGTGATGGTGAGGCTTTTTTCCTCTCCCGACTTAAGGTCTCGGCGTCATGGGGACATAAAATGCACCAAAAAAAAACAACGAAGATGTTGTGACTTTCGTGGCAGAGTGATTGGTAAAGAAAGTGTCTGCTCCAAGTTGCGTTGTTTCTACACTCACTCGCTCTCTGATTCATTGATGCCCTCTCTGATTAATTGATGCCCTCTCTGATTCATTGACGCCCTCTTTGATTCATGGATACGTCGAAGCTCGCTCCGTTGTTCTGCTGCTTGTCGGAGTTAACATTGGCGCCCAACATGGGGCTCGAACCCACGACCCTGAGAAAGAGTCTCATGCTCTATCGACATCTGAAGTGTTCAAAGTGTTAGAACACACTGTTAATGGCACGGATGGTGAAGCTCAGGAGCCAGTGACAACAGATGGCACGTACCGGAATGCATCTTCTCAAACACGGAGGGACAGGTTATTGGAAGTCACCATCAGGACGGATACTAGTGAGATGATTAATGAATTTACTCACAACGCGTTCCTGTTAGGTTTCCCATACCTCTTCCCGTTGGGCATAGGAGAAAAGGATATTATGGCAACATCTTTATCCAAAAGAGTTATGATTGTGGCATGATGGTCGTTTCGGCAGGGACAACCGGTTTTTTTCTATCGATATAACCGAATTCGCCGTTGGAATGCTGCGCTCGGCGTTCATTTGAAGGTCAAAAATGATAGAGGGTCGGTGGATAAATTCAACCGGTTGATTTTGGATCCGTCAATCTCCGATAGAGTCAAGCAAGCTGCAGCAAACCCGGCCAATAGAGACGCTAGATTATTGATGAATTTACTGAAGCCGCTGTTGGTCGTGTCAGGAAGACGTCTTCCATTTGGTCCAGCCGAGAGGAACGACTCTATCAGCAAGATGTGCGCAATGGTGCATTCATTATGCAGGGCCGCCACTTTGGTTCTGGACAGTGTCTCCAAGTGATATTGATAGCACGCCAGCCCTTCGCATTGCAGGTATTGACGTGGAGTTTCAGTTGCCATCCCTGCAAGAACGTGCAAACATCATTGCAGCCAATCCGGTTGCTGCAGCGCGAGGGTTTCAAGCGTTGATCAACTCTATATTGCGGTGTTTATTTAGTCAAGAACCGCAAGAGTCAACGCGTACATCGACGCTCCCTGGTCTACAAGAAAGGGAATGTCTAATGTGTGGTGGAGAGTGCATGGGTTACTTTGCGGTGACTGAAACCCAAGGTCGTGGGTCTCTGCATATGCATGGATGTCTTCTTTGCAGTCTCGGACCAACACTTCTGGAGCGTTGCCAAGCCGATAGCGATCTTGCTGCTCAGATTGCACATGTCATTGACAGCCTTCTGATAGAGGCATTGCCCGAAGGCATTAACAAAATCGTTCAAGAGAGGCGGATTCGGCGAGAAGCTGGTCTTTGCGTATCGCTACAATCGGTCCTGCAAAATGCTCTCGATGCCCTTGTGAATTGGGGCACCAGCTGGAGAATTGTGTTCGAGCCAGCCAAGTTCCAGGCAATGAATATTGACCATCACCGCCCCGCCTGGGACCTCCCAGCAGTACAAATTGCGGGTGTCCCCCTGAATGGAGAGAGGAACCTCAAGCTTCTTGGGGTAACCTTGGACAGCCAATTTTCCCACCGCAACCACCTCCGTACCATCGCCATCAGAGCACGCCAGCGTCTCGGGGTCCTGCGGAAGGCCTCGCCGCTCCTGGATTCTCGCAGCCGGGCTACAGTGTACCGTGGGTTTGTACGCCCAGTAATGGAGTACTTCCCATTGGTCTGGATGGGCGCAGCAGATTGTCACTTGCAGCGACTTGACCAGACACAACGCTCAGCCCTCCACTTGATTGGCCCCGGCGCAATGCTGCAAAGCCTGTCTATCTAGCGCATGGTAGCTGCGTGTACCTACATTTACAAGCTACTGTGTTCCAATTCTACCAGCCCACTTCGTCAGCTCTTGCCTCCCTCTCAAGCCCGCCGACCAGCCCATGTTCGACCCACTCGTCTCTCTCTCTCTCGTCCGTCTCGACATGCATAACTACCAGCTTGAGACAGGGCTACCTGTCAATAGCCGGGAAAGTTGCCGTAGAGCTTTCCCCGCCTGTGCTGTCCCTGTATGGAATGCTCTGCCACCCGCCGTCCTCAGCCAGCCACCTGACCGGAAACGGCTGCAAAGTTTCAAAGTGTCTGTCTTCCGGCACCTCCGTGCCCAGCAATGGCACTGGGCCACTGACACTTTGTAAGATGTATGCACGCCTGCCCACACACTGCTGCATATTGCCATACGCCTCGTGCCCTGCTTACTCTTTTCTCTGGACCTGAATGTGCACCCCTTACGCATAATATAATTATACTTTATTTAGTTCTCTCCCCCTCTCTTGCCCCCAACCCTCCCAGCTCTCTCTCTCTCCCTCTCTCTATCTCTCTCTCTCTCTCTCTCTCTCTCTCTCTCTCTCTATCTCTATCTCTATCTATCTGTCTATCTCTCTCTCTGTCTATGTCTCTCTCTCTTTCTCTCTCCCCCTCTCTTTCTCTCTCTGCTATTGGCGCGCCTGGTTATGATGAAGCCGAGACCCAAGGTCGGCAGAGCATCCCAGACCACGCCACCACTCCCCTTATTCATGGCTCGCACATGACGGGTTTACGTGGCTCTAGTAAAAAAAAAAAAAAATAGGTCGCGAACAATGTCGTCTATCCTTTGCCCGTGGTGTGAAGGATGATGGGACTGGTCCTGTCCATATCTGTAAGGAGTCTGGTGGTGATAAAGGAGGTGAGTGAGGCAATCTCTTTGGTTTTGATTATAATTGTTTCGGTTTCGTTTATAACTTGGTTTACATATTAGTTTAATTTCATTTGTGTCCGCATGAAAATTCTTTAGATATTGATTATTCAACTCGGATTGTAAGCCAATTAAAATTATGGTTCCTGTTGACGGGTGTTGAATTGATGATGAGTGTGTCCATGAGGTCACTTCAGAAATGATTAAGACCAATGTTTATGTTAACCGAATGCATAACGGAGGTGCAATTGACATATGAGCCAGGGACTATAGAAACCGCCCTACGACGTTTGATATCAAAATCAAGTTATGACGTTTCAAAGTCACGCGACTCAAAGTTACGCGAAACGCAGAACTCGTCACTTTTGTTTTGACAAGACTCAAGAGCTGTCCTCTTGTTAGGTGCTCGGGGAAGGATTCTGAGCTCGAGCGATTGTCGAGTAACTCAAGAGGCTCCACTTACTGTGATTGACTATGGCTACAACATCTAGTAGGCGACGCAGCTCGATTCTGTGTGGAGTGGACTAGTCCCTGATGCGAAGGCGCATGAATCGGACGACGAGAATTTTTACGGATTCAGCGCTGGCACCCGCGAGTCGTCAGCGAGCGATTCCGACAACGATGCTGACAGCGACGGCGATGATATGCCACCTATTAATGAAAAAGACGTATGGAGTCACAGCAAGCTAGAGTGCTGCTAGTGTTGTGTCGAAAATGCCAAGCCCCGACAGCTCGGAAATTTCAAACGCGGAGAGTGACACCGACTACTCGGAATCGGATGACGAACCAGATGCCCCCGCACCTGAGCCACCGACGATGGGGCAGGTGAAGCGTGGTCTCCTGTCTTCAGACATATGCGATGGGATTGAGAGAGGCTGTGGATGCAAGTCGAAGAATCATTGGAAAGTCATCCCAGAGCAGCGCCTGAGCCACCGACGATGGGGCAGGTGAAGTGTGGTCTCCTGTCTTCAGACATACGCGATGGGATTGAGAGAGGCTGTGGATGCAAGTCGAAGAATCATTGGAAAGTCATCCCAGAGCAGCAGCTCGAGGACTACATATTTGAAGTCTCTAAACTGCGAGAATCGAAAAAGCGCTTAAAGCAGTTTGTTCTTTGCGCACTGACTGGAAGCATGCGAAGGTCGATGACTGGTGGTGGTGATCGACCTTTCTATTTCCGCTACCATGTACGTGGTTACGAGTTGTGCAAAGACGTGTTCATGGCAGTTCATGCAGTGTTGGAAGTCATGTAATGAAGCGCCTTCCAAAAAGGCAAACAAAGGAGTCGTTCAACTGGCACACCATGGCTTGACTGGAAGAACACCAGAGCACTTGGCCATTTCAGCAGACATAGAGCAGGATGTAGTCCAGTTTATTTAGTCATAATTATGCTAACATGTACGGTCTACCTCATCATGCAGTGGAGCGAGGTCGTGCTGAGGACCCTCCAGTATACTTACCAGCATCCGAGAACGAGAAGTCTGCATACAACATCTATACCAAGACCGTCACACAGTATTCGCCTGTTCATTACAGGTCATTTTGCCACATTTGGAGGAGACAGGCAGCACACATCAAAGTGATGAAGCCAAGGACAGACGTATGCGCACTGTGTGACAATCTGCGGGACAAAATTCGTGTCGCCCATACAGAGGAAGAGACGGAATGTAGTGTCCAGGCCCTGCGTTTGCACATATCACTAGCACAAGAGGAGCGGCAGTACTACCGAGATTTAGTGGACGGCGCGCAGGCGTCACTGGATGAAGCTGAGGGCATAGTTCACTATACATTAGAACTGCCTAACTAGCAAGACTGAAGATATACAAAGAACATTACAAACTGTGAATTTGCTCTATATCGCTAAATTGACATGTCATTATTAAATAGGTGGTTAGGCACATTTTACCACCGCAGATCAACTTGATATTTTGTTTGAGCACATAACCATACCATACCAACATTTTGAGAGAGAAAAATAAATTTCGCCAAAAAGTGCCATAGGGTGGTTTCTGTAGTCCCTGGCTCATATAGGTAGCACAGTAGTCCTCATTGGCAAGGAGAGTGCTGTAGGAGTGACGGACTAGAGCAAGGAGAGTCAATGATAGAGATTGCTTAACTTACACTGCCCTTCACAGAGATCATATCGGGTTGGAGTTCTAGTAGATACCTGACTACTTCCAGATGCCCGTGCCAGGCAGCAAAATGAACAGGAAGGTTACCGTTCTGTGTACAGGTAACACACATGACCAGACATTCCTATGCGTTATCCATCAGAAAAGTACTTATATTGGGTATAGTGCACAATCCACTACGAAGTGAGGCAGTCTCACGCACAACATTCTGATAAGTCAATTGTTTACAAGCTAGTGCTGGAAAAAAAACCAATACATGCTTTAGTGCTGGGCACGAGATTGATTAGTTTGCATTCTTTTTGAGCCAAAGTAATGTTGCAATATTCCTCTTGTGGGTGGAGGGGCATATGATGGGCGCAAGTATACAATACTAAGAACTGTTTTGAATCATTTATGGACATCTCTGCACACACCAAAACATTCCTGTTGACAGGTGTTGAATTGATGATGAATGTGTCCATGAGGTCACATCAGAAATGATTGAGACTAATGTTTATGTGAACCGGATGCATAATGGAGGTGCTTTGTGCAGCTACCAGTGCTGGCCAGGAAATTAACCCATATTCATAGGTACTTTTGGAGTATATCAATCGGTGGGGTTGCTTTTTCAGCCTGATACTCCCCAGCAATTGACATAATTATAGCAAGCACAGTAGTCCTCATTGGCAAGAAGAGTGCTGTAGGAGTAACTGGCTACAGCAAGGAGAGTCAATGATAGAGATTGCTTAACTTACCCTGCCCTGCATAGAGATCGTGTCGGGTTGGAGATCTAGTAGATACTTGACTACTTCCAGATGTCCATTCTCGGCAGCGCTATGAACAGGAAGGCTACCGTTCTGTGTACAGGTAACACACATGACCAGACATTTCTATGCGTTATCCATCAGAAAAGTACTTTTATTGGATGTAATACGCAATCCACTACGAAGTGAGGCAATCTCATGCACAACATTCAGGTAACCCACATGACGAGACATTCCTATGCGTTATCCATCAGAAAAGTATCTATAGTGGATAAAATGTGTTAGGTACCTCCTCCCGTACAACCTTTTCCAAGCTGGCCTGCATGCACCCCATACTATGTCGTATTCACCTTTTGTCTCCTTTTGTCACCTTTTGGTCCATTGGCCTGGGTAGCTACTTGCGCGCCCATATTTGCCAAAGCTACCCAGTCTACCTCTCTACACTGCACTCTTGGCCCACAGTCACAACACCACTCCATAGCGAGGAAGTTCGTTCTTGAGTAGATGTTCCATATCCTCCAGACAGCTGTTTCGTTCAGTAAGAGTTCCCCAGTAGAGGTAGATAACGAAGAGCGCAGTGTGGAGAGGTGGACGGTTAAGATTATTTTCAAATGGCCGAGTTTGTCGCTACTTCTGAGTAAAACAGTACATCGATAAGTCAATTGACAAACTGTTTTGCCAGGTCAAGGTGGAAAACCCCAATACATGAGCCAGGGACTACAGAAACCACCCTATGGCACTTTTGGCAGAAAAAATTCTCTCAAAATGTTGGTATGGTATGGTAGTCTGCTCAAACAAAATTTCAAGTTGATCTGCGATGGCAAAATGAGCCTAACCATCTATATTAATAGTGGCATGTCAATTGAGCGATATAGAACAAATTTATGTACACGGCGAGTATGAAATGACAATTCAAGTTGCTGGGCAAAGTCAAATGTATAGTGAACTTTGCCGTCAGCTTCATCCAGTGACGCCTTCGCGCCGTCCACTATATCTCGGTAGTACTGCCGCTCCTCTTGTGCAAGTGATATGTGCAAACGCAGGGCCTGGACACTGCAGTCTACATTCCGTGTCTTCCTCTGTACGGGCGACACAAATTTTGTCCCCCAGCTTGTCACACAGTGCGCATACGTCTGTCCTTGGCTTCATCACTTTGATGTGGTGCGGCCAACATCAAGTATCCCTTTCCCATATCTCTGAAGGAAATGTTGCCATGTATGACCAGACCAATTGGCAATAATAATATTGTGTTCTCAACTTCTCATGCTCTACAATTACGTTCATTATATGTTGTGCTGCGTTCTCTAAAAAAATCCTAAAGGTGTTTTACACAGAGATATACTTGGGAGTCTTATCCCGTAGAACATTTACTCTGTCTGGATAAGCGCTGCAAGCCGCATGATGAACTGGAAGATTATGACCCCCACCCCAGGAACTCGTGGTCAAAACCGATTCCCGCAAACGCAGATCGGACTTTCTTTATCGCAGCACTTCCTGCATTGTTTTTGAGTGTTTTCAAGTGATTCTTTTAAAAGTGTGCTTTTCAAATCTTCATTTCCATCTAGTTGCTGAGGCAGGCGAGGGTACTTCTACTACATGTACTGATTGATTGATTTTGGATTCGCGAGGCATGGAGCTGATGCGAGCTCGTGGCTGTCTGGCTTAAGTTGTGCTGACTAGTTGACGGCGACTAGCCTAGCTGGACGATGTGCCTCAACAACGGAGCTGCCACCCCAACACAGGCAACGCAACGGCTGCAGTCTTCCCATCGACTCCCATTCCCCAGCACCACTGACAAAGGACATAGGAGCAGAAACAGAACACTTCTCGATCTCAAGAAAATAAATTTAACATCCACGGCCACCTTGAGATCGATTCCCCACATTTTTGTATTTTCCCGAGCGCACAGATTTTGACGCAAACGCGCTGAAAATCACAAGTATAGTATGATATCACGTCTTGCGTTTTCCAATCTCAAACGCAGACGCAAACGCGACTCAAACAAACGCAGTGTGATAACGGCCTAACCGACTACAGCAAGGAGAGTCAATGAAGAAGAAAAGATTGCTTAACTTACCTTGACCTTCACAGAGAGCGTATCGGGTTGGAGTTCTAGTACAAAAATGCTAAAGAAGAATCAAGAATAGAGATTGCTCAACTTACATCTTTCTTTGCAGAGATCGTGTCGGGTTGAAGATTTAGTAGATACTTGACTACTTCCAGATGTCCATTCTTGGCAGCGCAATGAACAGGAAGGCTACCGTCCTGTGTACAGGTAACACACACTCCTATGCGTTATCCATCAGAAAAGTACTTTTATTGGATGTAATGCGCAATCTACTACGAAGTGAGGCAATCTCATGCACAACATTCAGGTAACACACATGACGAGACATTCCTATGTGTTATCCATCAGAAAAGTATCTATAGTGGATAAAATGTGTTAGGTACCTCCTCCCGTACAACCTTTTCCAAGCTGGCCTGCATGCACCCCATACTATGTCGTATTCACCTTTTGTCACCTTTTGGTCCATTGGCCTGGGTAGCTACTTGCGCGCCCATATTTGCCAAAGCTACCCAGTCTACCTCTCCACACTGCACTCTTGGCCCACAGTCACAACACCACTCCATAGCGAGGAAGTTCGTTCTTGAGTAGATGTTCCATATCCTCCAGACAGTTGTTTCGTTCAGTAAGAGTTCCCCGGCACAGGTAGATAACGAAGAGCGCAGTGTGGAGAGGTGGACAGTTAAGATTATTTTCAAATGGCCGAGTTTGTCGCTACTTCTGAGTAAAACAGTACACCGATAAGTCAATTGACAAACTGTTTTGTCAGGTTAAGGTGGAAAACCCCAATTCATGAGCCAGGGACTACAGAAACCACCCTATGGCACTTTTGGCGGAAAATGTTTTCTCTCAAAATGTTGGTATGGTATGGTAATGTGCTCAAACAAAATTTCAAGTTGATCTGCGATGGCAAAATGTGCATAACCACCTATTTAATAGTGGCATGTCAATTGAGCGATATAGAGCAAATTTATGTACACGGCGAGTATGAAATGACAATTCAAGTTGCTGGGCAAAGTCTAATGTACAGTGAACTTTGCCCTCAGCTTCATCCAGTGACGCCTTCGCGCCGTCCACTATATCTCGGTAGTACTGCCGCTCCTCTTGTGCAAGTGATATGTGCAAACGCAGGGCCTGGACACTACAGTCTACATTCCGTGTCTTCCTTTGTACGGGCGACACGAATTTTGTCCCCCAGCTTGTCACACAGTGCGCATATGTCTGTCCTTGGCTTCATCACTTTGATGTGGTGCGGCCAACATCAAGTATCCCTTTCCCATATCTCTGAAGGAAATGTTGCCATGTATGACCAGACCAATTGGCAATAATAATATTGTGTTCTCAACTTCTCATGCTCTACAATTACGTTCATTATATGTTGTGCTGCGTTCTCTAAAAAAAATTCTAAAGGTGTTTTACACAGAGATATACTTGGGAGTCTTGTCCCGTAGAACATTTACTCTGTCTGGATAAGCGCTGCAAGCCGCATGATGAACTGGAAGATTATGACCCCCACCCCAGGAACTCGTATAAGGTGAGGCAAAGTTAACTTGATGGAGTTTGTCCATAACTTGTTTGTGTACGCTTTCCTGTGGCTCTTCTGTAGATCCGTAAATCATGTGAAGTTTCGGCCATTGCTTGCTACCTGTGTGGGTGGCTAAAATAGAGTTGATCTGGTGTAAGCCTCAAGACCACCATTCATTACAAAGGAGTTAATCAAACACACAAACGCACACATACATGCACAAAAAACACACACACTTACATACATACATACACACACACACACACACACATATAATTATATATACACACACACAAACACACATACATACACACACACACACACACACAAACACACATACACACACACACACACACAAACACACATACACCAGGAAATATATTTACATCACTTTAGTATATGTAGGGAGCCTGCAAGCCAAACAAACTTATGATCAAACAAAGCAAGTATTTACTGAGGCGTCTATGAACCTCCGTGAATGGGCTTCGAACAATTCCGACTTCCTCTCTCACATTCCAGAAGTTGACAATGTTTCTGAAACGGTCATGACAGTACTTGGTATGCAGTGGTGTACACCCACGGATCAGATTTCGCTGGCCGGTCATGACGTTGAGCACGTGATCGTTCGGACCAAACGCCAAATGTTGCAGGTCGTCTCAAAGTTCTTTGACACAATGGGCCTGCTATCTCCAATACTGTTGCAACCGAAAATCCTGATTCAAAACCTGTGGAAATTGAAATGCGACTGGGACGACATCCTCCCAACAGAAATTCCAAATAAATGGAAAGAAGTCACAGGTGATCTAAAGCAGATCCACGAAATTCAAATTCCGAGACGGATGACAGTCGCACACCCAGGGGCAGTCACATACACACTTCACTGTTTTTGTGATGCTTCTCAAACAGCATATGCAGCGTGTGTGTACCTTGCGGTTGTCGACGAGCAGTCAGGTTGTGACTCTTGTCATCTTGTGTTCAGTAAAACCCGCCAAGCCCCCATCAAGGAATTAACAATACCGAGACTAGAATTTATGGCAGCCTCGATCGGTATTCGGTCGTTACCATTTTGTACTCTCACAATTGAATTTCTCGGAACAACCCAGACTGGTGCTGTGGTCTGATTCGCAATGTGTGTTACATTGGATCAAGAAACCTCAAAAACACGGTACATTTGTGGACCGGCGCTTGAATGAAATCCGGTCTCTGTCGTTGGTTGAGTACCGGTATGTAGACGCAGCTGAAAACCCCGCAGACACTCCTTCTCGCGGGGCCACGGTGGACACGCTGAAAAATAACAAGAACTGGTGGCACGGGCCCCAGTGGATTAACCCTTTGGGGCCTGTACATTCAAATATCGACGGTATGCCGTCGACGGACTGAAACGTTCGTAACTCACTCGAAACTTGACGGATTTCCAAGATCGAAATATCTGGAAAGAAGCCGGAGAGCTCAGCTTTCTAAAGCAACAATCGCCAAAGAGCTACGATATCGTGTTGCAGAGATATCACGCTCGACATTTCAGTCACGGCAAAAGTGAACTTTTTTTCTCAGCGACTGGCCTTGAGTGAGGGATTTCCCCTTGGATGGCATGCTGATTCACCCAGGCACGCTTCGAAGCTTCCTGCACGTGGTCAGCATAAAACTTAACTCAGTGCAAAAAAATGAGCGTTACGCGATGAATGAGAGTGAAATGGCTCGCGTCGAGGAAATTTGCTCGTATATCCTGCTCTGTTGACTGTTCGAGGCTTAGTGGCGTTGGATATGTGACTGCTGTGGTGTTGAATTTGAGCTCTACAGTCCATTCAGAAAAAAGATGCGCTCTGGCTCTGGCGAGCTCCCGTATTTGGCGATTTTTCGTGATTTCATTGTACACAGTGCAGTGCTGCGAAATTTGAACTTTGAAAAAGAGTCCAAAAAGGGTACCTGAACTGGGGTTCGAACCCCACAATGCACTGTTGCAGGCAGGGTCAAACGGCCTGGATTTTGATGTTTTTTTCCAATTCAATGCTTCTGGGGCAAAACCTGGCCGATATCCTATTCTTGTTATGGCTTGCTTTTTGGACAAATAGACTTCAGAAACATAATTGGAAGAGGATTCCATAGGGGATTGCAGAAAAAAATTCTAAAAAAACTCAAAGTTTGACCCATTTATGGCCAAAAGCTAGAAGTTCATCCTTTTCTGAATGGACAGTAGTTACTCTGCTCGAAGCCCATGATTATGGAAATCCAAAAACTAACACCAAAGTAATGCCCAAAAAAAGGTAAAGAACATGTCGCAATTGCAGTTGCATACAATTATCAGGATTATTTGGGGCTCCAAAGCGTTAACAATGAGAAAGGTTGGCCATCGGTGTTGGTGATTCCAGCGAACGCCGTGGAGTTGGAGAAGTCTGCCAACACCTTACTGGCGGCGGCGGAGGGTCCCACGGAGTACCCAATGATAATTAATTTAGAAAGGTATTCGTCTTGGGGAAAACTGATACGTGTCTCAGCATATGTTTTGAGAACCATCGAATGTATGCGTGGTAATAAATGTAATGGGTTTCTTACATCACAAGAGCTCAAGAATGCGACAATGGTTTGGCTATGACATTTGCAACGTACGGAATTTCCAGACACGCTCAAGTTAATTCAGAAAGGAAAACGAAATGATCTAGCCAACAAACTCGGCCTGTTTCTAGATGAAAACGAAATAATGCGGTGCAAAGGACGGTTGGAAAAAGCAAACATACCACTACGGTCTAAGTTCCCAGTCCTAATACCCAAACACGGAGTAATCACAACTTTGCTAATTGAAGAATGTCACAAACGGCTAATGCATGGCGGTGCGAGTCATACACTGATGGAACTGAATATTAATAATAATGGAAAAACCAATGAAAAAACGATTCGGCAAACAATGGTTCGGCGGACGGCGGCTTGGTAACAAACGACAACAGCGCTGCAGATAATGATCAGCAGCTAATCCAAAATTGACGGCGGTACAGTGCACGGCGGCACAGAAGTCAAAGCAAGAGGCAAGCGGCAAGCGGCCAAAAGGAGTATGGAACAGCTAAGACAATTGATTGTGTCAGATTCAGTTTAGTTTAACCCTTTCCATGCTGGCCCCTTTTACTCCAGCAAACTGCATTTCCAGCGCACTGACTCTCCTGGTGTCGTTTTCGCGTTCAGGTCTGAACGAATTTTTCTCTCAATTCAGTTTACCTTGATGGATTTTCATCATCCTAGGCCTGTTGGAAAGATCAGGACCAAGCGAATCCATCCTGGTATCTCTTAACTCAATATGCACAGCGGTGCAACTTCTACGTCCTCTTGAAGCTCCTCACGATGCCTCGGAAAGGCACAGGAACTCGATCTCACATTCTTTTTCAGTTTCTTGCTCCAGGTCAGCCGATTTTCACGATTCAAACTGCGCTGGAAAGCTGACATCCACGTGCTTCCGTTGGTATCCATTACGCATGCGCTGTGCGAAAGGGAAATCTCCTGGCACGCAACAGAAAACAAAACTGCGAACGCATGAACAAAAACATTCCCGATCGCTCAGTGCCGTGAATTTCTTGTTCACTCCGTTGCCGCTCCGTCAATCTTTCTCCTATCGCAAAGAACTTTATATTGCTGGAAAGCTGAGCTCAATACCTTTCCAACGGTGTATCGATTGTCGCGATGCGATAGACT